CATCCATCCATCCATCCATCCATCCATCCATCCATCCATCTATTCAGCCATCCATCCATTTGTCCATCCATCCATCCATCCGTCCATCCATCCATCCATCCATCCATCCAACCATCCATCCATCCATCCGTCCATCCATCCGTCCGTCCGTCCGTCCATCCATCCATTCAACCATCCATCCATCCATCCATCCATCCATCCATTTACAGTATTTATCCATCCATCCATCCATCCATCCATCCATCCATCCATCCATCCATCCATCCATCCATCCATCCATCCATCCATCCATTCATGTACCCACTTTATCTCTTGAAAGTTGAGAGATTATCACAATAGGAACGCGATTATTGACACTTTCATCTTGATTTCTCTTGAAATTCACAGCCTGCTTCATTATTATTATTATTTAAAAAGCATTAGGTAAGCCTTTATATTCACATTTTCAGCAGCAGCAGCCTCAGCCTCCACCTGTGCAGGGACACCGCCCAGCTCCATGTCCTCCGTCTTGTCACCGAGGTCACTTCCATACAACAGGTCCTCAAGGACCCGGTCGTCCGGAGACATCATGATGGAGAGTTCTGAGAAAGTAGGAGATAATTAACTGTCTTCTCTATAATCTCAACTCTCTTTGGAAAATACAAACCACACACATTTTAACAGATGAATACATGGCAGAAAAGACTCAAGAACCAAAGTCTTTGGTTGTGAAAGTCGTTAACATTGCAGAAATCTTTAATATTTTTTATCTTATTAAATATATTACTTTATTACTTGATGTTTCCAAATAAACACTTTACTTTAACACAATCAGATGCTCTATTTGAAAAACAAATAATTTTGCCTTCATCATTTTATTTCAACAAATGACAACATTGAAAATTTTCAAATTAAAAGACAATAAAATTTAGATTTGTGATTTAAACATCATTTTTTGTTGCTTTTAAATAGGCTGCACGACTCACTATGTCATTTAAAATCATACTTGTTTTGTATATTACTGGTGCACCTTCCAAAATTACACGTTATGTTTTATGAGTTTATTTTGGAGAAAAGAAAAATGTTTTAAATGTATATTTTAAATAAAAAGTCAAATGACAATTTCTATTTTGCATTTATTTACATGATAGGGCTTAAATTGTTTAAAACATGCTCAAATTCAGAGATAAAATTTACTGTATTCATCTGTTTTGTCTTCAAATAACAGGAAATTCAYAGTAGGGGTGAGAATAAGAGCGTGTCAGAACTTACTTTGAAGTTTCCTGTAAGGTTTCCACTGGGGGGGTATGAACCACACAAAGACCACCCTTTAAGAAGATCCAGATTYATAAAGTTCAGAGCATCTGATGCATCTCTGCTTTAACTAAAAACACTCCCAGCTTTCTCCTCTTGACTGTAAATCACCTGTGGGCTCTCAGCCCTCCAGGTGTCTCTGCAGCCTCCTGTCTTGTGGTTTTGGATCAGTTTCCCTGAGATCTGCCCCCCCCCCACCCCCTCCCTTCGCCTCATCTTTGTCCAACCACTTTCCCAGCATCTGATCTGCCGGGGGTCCCAGGTGACCTCCACCTGTAAACAAGAAGGCCAGCTGGCTCGGCGAGCAGGTGAGAAACGACGCGATTGGCTGCCTGGTGAGCAGGTGGGAGAGGGAGGGCGGGGGGAGGCGTGACGCTGGGGACCAATTAAAAGAAACAAAAGGTGTTTAAAAGGACATCTGGGAACTGCACCTGAGTCTTCATTCGGACCAAACTTCTTGTGGCTTTTCCTTCCAGGGTAAACACGACTCACAAGGTCGAGTGGTCTCAGTTTATAACAAAACATCTCTTACTGTCACCAAATACTACATATTATATTCCAGTAATTATTTGAACGCCTTAACTCTTGACCCAGCTGTGTTTCTGTCCACGCTCAGGTAAAAACTTAAAGATACTCAATGCAAAATAATGAGATCAATAAAGTTATGTAAAAAACAAAATCTGCACAAACGTTTCCTCATATCAATCAATCATTGTATTTAAAACTCTTCTTGATCTCGTATTTATTTTTGACATACGACCAGTGCTGGCTCTAGCCATTTTGGTGCCCTGGGCGAGTTGAAGCCCCCGAACTATGTCCCACCCACCCCAATTTAAATGCCTAAAAACAAGGTTGACAGTGTAAGGTACTATGGTAAACTTAGAAAGCAAATAAATAACAACACACATGTCAACTTGTACGAATTGAAGKATTTTTGGTCATTTTGCAGGTATACGGATGTATAGCGCAATCTCACGCATTTTTCAAGTCTTACAGCGGGCGCTTTCATGCCCCCCTGGTGCGAGTTGTACGAATATTTTGCAAAATTTACAGATTTTTGAGGGTTTTTTTATACATGTAAACATCTGAAGAGGTTGACATGTATGGGACAACAAAATACAGACTTGTTGTTATTGAGTTTGTCAACACGAACCGCTACCTGAGAGGCACTACATTCCAGTGAACGCATGTAAGACTTTTATTCATTCATGTGATTATATCTTTGTATTTGCTCCTGCAGCAGGATTACAGGATCCTGACATCGACCAGAACTACTGCAGCCCTCTGACAAACACTAAAAGTCGAACCATTTATTTATTTTCWAACAGCTCAGAACTGTATTTCCTCTGACACTGAAACATGAGTCAACACCGACAAATCTTAATGACCTCCAAATTATTCGCCTTTTATAATTTGCAGCATTGCTCACATGTTTAACTAGAATTTGAGGAATTTAATGCTGAATAAATTTTGGTTTGTTGCTTCACTGTCTAAAGAGACGATCAGTGCAAAGGGACATTTACCTACGACGGAACAATGACTCAGATGTACTGAAGGTCTTTTCTTTCTTGATGTTGAAGAAAAACCATGTTAGTCAGTACCTAAAATAAAAATTTGTCTTATAAAAAATAATTTTCTGCTCTCTGTAAATTATATGCATAAAAGAAAAGCCAGGTCTCAACATTAACTGTAATTAGTGATATAAAGATTTTTTTATTTACAGATTAAATGTAATTTACTGATTATAAAATAAACAGATAATATTAAAAGATTAATAAATAATTGTCAGCAATTTTTGGTCTTCATCAGGAAAAAAAATTGGTTAACATGTGTCCAATAAGTCAAACAAAAGCAGCTATTTAGCTTTCAGATTAYATTTTATTTGTATTTATTTATTAAGGCAAAATAATAAAAACTGATATATATATATTTTCACAAAAAGACAACAAAGCCGTTGTCAGCTGAACCACAACAGGTGCGTCACTCACCTGAGAAACCATAAAGGAGCTGAAGTTTTACAGACTGACCAGCAGGGGGCGATGTTGAGCTTTAAAACAGAACTGAATCAGACAATCCCAGCCAGGTGATTTCTTTGTTTATTTTTTGATTTTAGTAAATTTAATCAGAAATACAAAAGATTACTTTTTTCATACATGTTTGAAAAGTACATTTATATATTTTCAAGTTTGTCGCCATYTTCTGTATATTCAAAACAAACATTAAAACCATGTATGCACAAAAAGTTCCCTTTGAGCTGCAGTTTAGTTTCACCATCCTTAAAACAACAATCCACTTATTTACAATACAAATAAAATTAGCTTTGAATGCTGCTAACAGAACCTTGTCGGAACGAAAACACGTATCTATCATTTTAATAAAGTACAGTTTAATTATCTGACCAAACAGACAAGCACCTGCTTTAAAACTATACATTTAATGTTGCTGAAAAACAAACAAAAATATCTGTACAGTGCTGAGAACTGACTATATACAAATGAAAAAATATGTCTTCATCTCTAAATGAGAGCGAGGCTCTCTGCTTTTCCTTCTGAACAGCTCATCGTTCGATCAAACATTTAAATATATATTTTCATCCTCTAGAAGGAGGCCTGAAGTTTGCAGGTCTCATCTTCATCTCAGTGAATTGGATGGAGTGATCTTCTCCTTTCCAGGACTTCCAGATCAAACCCTGACRAACCCAAACATTCATGTTTAATCCAGACAGTTCATTTTTTATAAATGACACTCTTAAATTTATCTCAGTCTGATGAGGTTACCTGGTGTTGGAAGTTGTTCCCATAGAGACCGTTCAGGTTTGCCTCATGGCAGTTGTTGTACCACCAACCTCCTTGATAAGAAATGGCGCAGCGGGTGATCCCTGGCGCTGGGTCTCGGTCTTTGGTGGAGAAGACGTGGTTGTTGTGGTAACTGAGAGAGTCACCTGGAGCATAATAAAGGGAAATAAATGAACGAGGAACAAAAGGGGGTGTTTTAGATATTATTTTTAAGCTTTGTAGTCAAGAAGCATTCATTTCCGTCTAACCTGCAGTGCCGCTGTATCCGTCCACAGTTAGTCTGTACTGTCTCTTGACCACCATAAAGGTTGAGTACTGGGCGAACACCCGCTCACCCCCATCCCGTAGGTCGACCCGTAGATTCATCCTGGTCGTTGATGTCAAGCTGTGGATATTCTCAAGACCTGAAAAACCACATGGAAATTATCCTAAAACATGTTTGACCAACGGCATRGAAACAAGTTGGACCCAAATCTAAAATTACATATTCAAATCTGCTTTAGAAGAGGGTGTTAACCAAGCCCAGATATGTTAACAGGCAATATA